TAGATAGATAGATAGATAGATAGATAGATAGATAGATAGATAGATAGATAGATAGATAGATAGATAGATAGATAGATAGATGAGTAGCAGTAGTGTTGGGCGGACACTGGAATTTTACTACAAATTATTCCGTTCATAGGAATTCAAGAGAGCCTAATCTATCATCCACTTCTCTTTTATCCAATATAATTGTAGAAAGCAATCTTGTAGATGTTTGGAGGAAAGTCCATCCAAATAGCACGCAGTATACTGTACCCGGGTGAAAATCACTGAGGGCATGGTTAGTGCTGCCGGACTGGTCAGGCTCAATGTCAGTAAGACATCTTACAATAGGTTAACTGCAGCCATGATATCACCTGTTGGTTTTTCAGATCATCATTTAATAACTGTTGATTTTTCTTTAATGCATTCCCAAAGATCTTCTTATTGGCATTTTAATATCAGACTGATTGATGACAAGAATTTCTGTCAGTCTTTCCCTGATTTATGGGTTCAATGGAGACGCAGGAAATCAAGTTTTGAAAATATAAGTCAATGGTGGGAGTTGGTGAAAACACAAATGTGAATATTTTGTCAGCAATACACAACAGTCACAAAAGTGATAGAAAGGGATCATTTTGAAGTATTGGAGAAAGAATTTTGTTTATTTGAAGAGGGCATAATAAATGGGTTAGAAGAAGCTAAAGGTGATCTAATAAAATACAGAATCCTGTCTATTAGAGACATAGATGAACAAACTGGTTTCTTTTTTAAGTTGGAGAAAAAGGTCAGGCAGCAGAACCAGATGATGCACCTCAGGAACTGCAATGGAGCTGCGACCACTGACCCTTCAAAGATGAGGAAGGTTGCCAGAGACTTCTACAGCAGCCTATTCAGTGCTGATGATTGTGACTGTGAACGAATGGATGAGATACTGGAAGGACTCCCTCGTTTAGGAGAAGCAGCTTCAGCCTCACTGGAGTCTGCTATTAATTTTGATGAACTCTCTGCAGCGGTGAATCAGCTCAGCTGTGGTCGGTCTCCAAGGTATTGATGGACTTCCTGCGGAGTTCTTTAAGACTTTTGGAATTTACTTGGAAATGATTTAATGGAATTTTTTCATGGATGTTTGGACTCTGGGACATGACCAACGAGCTGCAGGGCAGTCTGGCAAAGATGAGCATTGGGCTCACAGGGAGAAATAAAATGAAGAAGGCAGATTCAGTTAAAGTTGAACGGATGTTCAGAGGCCTGGTGGCGGCACATATTAGGACAGAGTTTGCATATTATAGAATGGTATCAGATTTGAATGAGTTTATTTCTATTTGGGGAGGTGGAAAGGTTTTTATATCATGTAAATAATTAAATGCTTATTCTCAGTTTTTGAGGGGGTGGACTTATGTCTTTTGCTTTTATCTTCTGGGTTGTTGTATATGATTA